CTTGATCATCTTGTCTGTCACCTGAGTGCTGGGCACCAGAGTTCACTGCTAAACTATATATATATATATATATTATTGGCCTTTTTTTTGAGACAGGGTCTCCCTATAGCCCTAGCTAGCCTGGAACTGGCTATGTAGAACAGGCTGGCCTGGAACTCACAGAGATCCACCTGGGATTAAAGACATGCACCACTACGCCTGGTTTATTTTATTTTTCGAGACAGTCTTTGTAGCCCCAGCTGGTCTGGAACTTGCTATGTAGATCTAGCTGGCCTCGAACTCACAGAGCTCCATCTGCTTCTCTGTCTCCTGAGTGCTGGGATTAAAGGCGTGTAGCACTATGCCCAGTTGCCCTTACAATGTTGAGACCACTTTTACTTTTATGCCCTACTGTACAGGAAACCTGAAAACTTTAATCTGGCAAAAGCAGAGGGACAGTATTTGCCTCCAAACTCACCAGCTGGTGGTACATACCTGTAATCCCAGCACTTGTGTGGCTGCTGCAGCCTGGGATACATAAAGAGACTGTCTCAAAAACAAAACCCACAAAATACCACCGGCACCACCCTTTCCTAATACAGCATCATCCCTCAATATCCTTAGGGGGTTATTCCCAAGATGTCACATAGATTCCAAAATCCATGGATGTAAAGGCCTAACACTGTGTCCTCAAGAGCCAGTATTACACAGAGCCCATTCATCTCTCCCCCTCACACTTTGAGACAAGGAGCTCATGTAATCTACCCTGACCTAGAATTTGGTATATAACTGAGGCTGGCCTTGAACTCCTGATCTGCCTGCCTCCATCTCTGGATGGTCAAATGCTCTACCACTGAGCTATATCCCCAGGCTTCCCATCTCTGAGATGCTGGTATCACATGTCCTGGATACCATAGCTAGCCCCTCAAATGTTTTAAATCTAGAGAAATTTCTAAATTACTTAATGTTATCCAACGTAACACAAATGCTATATTAATAGCTGCTATACTGTACAAGAAATAAATCTATGTCTGGTGAGGAGTATGAAATATACATACATGTATTTGTGTGGTATATGTATACATGATGTGTGGATGCACTCAGAGGCCAGAGGAGGATGCTGAGTATTTGGCTCTACCTGTCATAGTCCCTTAAGACAGGGTCTCTCACTGAACTCAGCTAGCCTGGCAACCAACACACCCCAGCAATCCTCATGTATGCCACCTACATTGCTGGGTTCCAGATGCTTGTGGCCACACTCAGTGTTAGGGATTTGAACTCAAGTCTCATGCTTGCATAGGAAGTGCTCTTACTCTCTGAGCCATCTACCCAGCCTGATAGTATGTTTTTTGTTTTTTCACATTATTTTCCACTTGAATGAATTTTCAGATGTCAAAACTGAGGATAACTGAGAGCTGGATCTAGTCCTTTGTTGCTGTGTTTACCGGAGTTTACTGGGAGATGACTGAACTGTTGGTGGGGGTCCCAGGTTGAAAAGGTTCCTGGCACTTGAGACCAATGGGTGAATGGGGCCAAGTGCAGGGTGAATGAGGCCAAGTGCAGTAGAGGGCAGATGTTTTGTCAGTTGGGAAGTGGGGTTGGGGGCCCAACGCCTCACCCTCCAGCAGCAGGATGCCTTTACGGATGTCATCGTTGTATTTGCTTCGCACCAGGCACCAGGCATACTCAAACTGTGTGCTCTTCGACACAGAGCCAGCTGCCTGCTCGGACTGAAATTTCTTTTCGAACTTCTGCCAGAGGAAAGGAGAGGAATTATTTAGAAACAAGGCAGAAACCGTTCTCCAGATGAGCTTGGTGTTCTATGTCCCAGTTACACCATTATCCTGTCTCCACCCCCTTCCCCTTGCGCATCTTGGTACCTTGCACTACAGCTTCTGCCACCTCCATAACTCCGTACTCTGTGCTAAGCGCCCCTGCACCCTGCCCCTAGTGGTACCAGGCGGAGATACCACCTGGTGGCTGCTGCGGACACTGCTCCCAGGGCAGCTGACCTCGAGTGGTAAACACACTGTCCCAGCTGCTAAACGCCACCTCACGCGGTCCTTGCCTGAGGCCACTGGCCCCATCCCGTCCTACCCTTCCCGGCTAGAATCTGCCTTATCTTTCGAATAGGAAAACAGAGCTACAAGAATCGAGATCTGGCATGTGGTGAACTTAGCATCGTGCCAGGCTCAGCACTAGTGGAAGCTTACGCTGGTGACTGTGTTGCCTCATCACTTTAAGAGTATCCCGAGCTCCCAACTCAGGACTGATGGAAACTGGTCAGACTCCAGGCCTCAGGGCAGCGGTACGGAATCCCAAGAAACTACAACTCCCATCTGTCCCAAGGGCAGAACGCAGCCTCCACCAAGGAGCTGGAAGCCGCTAAGCCTGCCGGGAGCTGTAGTTCGGCTTCCCTCCACAAAGCCGAGGTTGGGAAAGAGTTCCGCCAACTCTCCTCAGGAGCCGCCCTTTCCGACGCTTTGCTGCGTCCTCGTCCCGGCCAGGCCTCACCTTCAGATCCTCCACAGACACCAGCTCGTTCAGGACGGCCTCCATAGCCACCGCCTCTGCAAGCCTCACACCACGGCGCCTACTGGGACACAGTCTCCATGGTCCAGTGGCACGGACGGAGAGGCACTTCCGGCATCAACTGTCAGAGACCCCGCCCCTTCCTCCCTTCGCCCCAGGCCGCAAGAGGCGCTAGTGCGCACGCTCAAATCCTTTCCTGCCTTAGACACCAGGGCTAACGTGTCCCTTCTTTCTCCAAGGCTGCCCCTGGAAAAGTTCGAGACTATGTTTGGAGGGAGAAGGGGGATGGGCAGTGGTGTTGGGTCTCAGCTAGCCCCGAGGCTGAAAGAGGAAATCTGACAGCGATCACGCTATTTTAGGGGGCCAGTCTAATGTCCACCTTTCCTGAAATCTGGGACCTGGAGGCCACTTTGCTTCAGTGTTTGCAACATAATCCTAACCTTAGCCAGGCTCCCAGGGCCTCAGCTTGATATAAACTGCAGGAGGATCTGTTAACCGTAACCCCAGAGCCTGGGGCATGTTTCTCATGAGAATTTAGAGAAAAGCTGTTAGGGGTTGGAGAGTTGGCTCAGCAGTTAAGAGCACTGATTGCTCTTGCAGAGGACCCGGGTTCAATTCGCAGCACCCACACGGCGGCCATGAACCGTCCTTAACTCCAGTTCCAGGGGAATGCGAAGCCCTCTTCTGACTTCGGTGGCATTGCACGACACAGGTGCACTCACATACTTGCAGGCAATACACTCGTACACATAAAATAACAATAATAAAATATTAAAAAAGAGAAGAAAAGCTGTTAGTGCTGGAGAGACGGCTAAGCAGTTAAGTGCACATACTGCTGTAGCAGAGGACCCCAAGTTTGGTTCCCAGCACTACTGTTCACCACGTTCTTATAACTCAAGCTCTAGGGCACCCAGTACTCTCTTCTGGCCTTCCTGGATGGTGCACATACCCCTACAAAGACACATGCATACTCATAATTAAAATATCCTTGTACCCAAGTCATGGTCAGTCACAGTGACCGTAACGCCTAGTACCTGAGGCCACTGGCTAGGAGGAAGAGGAACAAAGTGTACTGGGACTTTAGTGTTAGGTGATTAGTGACTTTCAGACTCATCACCTTGACCCACACAGCCTTCAGGGACACAAGAGAATTTAAGTGCATGAGGACAGGGGTTATCTTGTTTACTCCAAGCCTAACACAGACCCACAGTAAATGCTCAATACATTTTTTAAAATATTTTATTTATTAAAAATATGGAACGCTTCACGAATTTGCGTGTCATCCTTGCGCAGGGGCCATGCTAATCTGCTCTGTATCGTTCCAATTTTAGTATATGTGCTGCCGAAGAGAGCATGCTCAATACATTTTTTATTAAATAAATAAATAAGGCAGGACAAATGCAACGAGTTATCACTTAAACACTTTTTAAACTTTGTATTGCCTGCATTTGTAAGTAAGTGCACCCATGTAGTGCAATACCCTCGGACATCAAAAGAGGCTGTTGGATCCCCTGGGACTGGAGTTATGGACAGTTGTTAGCTGCCATGTGGGTGTTGGGATTCGAACCTGGGACTTCTGCAAGAACAACCAGTGTTCTTAACCACTGAGCCATCTCTCCAGGCCCCACCTAAACACTTTTTATGTTCCCAAAGTCCCTTCCCTCTCTCTCTGTTCCTCTCCCTCCTCTCTCCCCTTCCATCTCTCCCTCTCTCTCCTTCCCTTTCTCTCTCCCCCTCCCCTCCTCCCTTCCTTTCACCCATGTGTACTCATGTACATGTATGCAAGGGGGGCCAGAGGTCAGCCTTGGGTATCATTCCTCAGGCACCAACCCCCTTATTTTATTTCATTTGTTGAGACAGTCTTTCACTGGGCCCCTGGGGTTCAACAGTTAGGTCAGGCTGACAAGCTAATGAGCACCAGGGATTCCTCCCCCCTACCCCATCTCCATCTCCCAACAATGGCACTACAAGCATATGCCAACATTTTTTTAAAAGATTTTATTGAGAGAGAGAGAGAGAGAGAGAGAGAGAGAGAGAGAGAGAGAGAGAGAGAGAGAGAAATGAGAATGAACGTATATGTGCATGTGAGGCCAGAAGAGGGCATTGGATCCCCTGGAACTGGAGTTATAGGTGGTTGTGAGCCACCCAACTTGGGTGCTGGAACCTCTGCAAGAGCAGTATGGATTCTTTTTAATTATTATGTGTATGAATGTTTTGCTGGCATGTATGTAAGTGCACCACATGCATGCAGTGCCTACAGAGGCCAGAAGAGGGAATCAGATCCCCTGGAATTTTATCTCTCTCTTCTCCAGCCAGAATCAGACTGCAAACCATCACAGTCTCTGCCTGGGTAACATCAACCGCTGTTTCACTACCTCTGACATTTGTCCTGCTGTCATTAACACAGCACCAGGTAGTCAGAGAGAGCTTATAAGAAAACACAATTCACGCCGGGTGTGGTGGTGCACGCCTGTAGTCCCCAGCACTTGGGAGGCAGAGGCAGGTGGATCTCCATGAGTTCAAGGCCAGCCTGGTCTACATAGTGGGTTCCAGGCCAGCAATGGAGACCCTGTTTCAAAAAGACAAAAACAAACAAACAAACAAACAAACAAAACAAAACAAAAAACCACAATTCAGCCAGGTGTGGTGGTGCACGCCTTTAGTCCAGAGGACAGCCTGGTCTATATAGTGAGTTCCAGGCCAACTGGGGCTACAGGGAGACCCTGTCTCAAAAAGGCCAAAAACAAACAAACAAACAAAAAAACAAACAAACAAAAACCCTACAATTCAGCTGGGTTTGGTGGCACACACTGTTAATCCCAGCATTTGGGAGGCAGAGACAGGAGGATCTCTGCAAAATCGAGGTTAGACTGGTCTACATAGTGAGTTCCAGAACAGCTAAGTCTACAGGGCAACCCTCCTTGAAGCCAGAGGGAAATGTGTTGGCTCTAGAATCCTCTGAGAAATGTACATATGATGTCTGAACATTAGTGCATATCCATACCTGTATGGCAAGGAACACAGTGCCAGACAGGAGAGACCTCCCTTCAAGTGGTTGGTCAGAGTAGTCTAAGAGACTCCCAAAATAACACACGCTATTGCCAGAGCTCTTGGTTACCTCCCAGAACTGGAGATAGGACCGTATTGCTGAGGACAGGACACATTTCAAACACAGGACTTGGAGCAATGGAGCAGGAACTGACGTGAAAACCTTCTACCTGAAGTTTAGTGTTCATAGTTCTAGCGGATACTATGTAAGCTGCTAAGGGAGAAAATCAACCAATCGTCCAACCCAGCTAAAAAGCCTAATAAACAAAACAACTGGCAGCCAACTCCCTCTATTGATGCAGTAGTGGCAGTGCTATCTGGGGGTGATCAACAGCTATCTAATTGAACTTAAAGCCCTCACAGGGGGAATGAACTCTTGGGTAGCACTGTAAACACAGCCAAATACACATGGCTGGAAGAGGTCATAGATCCTAAAGAAAACCCTATCTCTAGATAAATGAAATTTCTTACCATATGCTAAATATGGATCCTTATATTTATAGACAAGTGTACTGTATACCATTCATCAAAGAAGCTTCTTCTTGTAACAGATGGAGATGACTGCAGAGCTCCACCACTGGTCACACACAGAGAATATATGTCTGAGAGATGCCCAGCCCTAGATGACATATCTACAGTGGAACCTCTACACCTAAGGGTCATGGAATGGGGAGAGGGGGGAGTAGGTAGAAAACTAGTGTATCCCTCAACTTTTACCAGTGAAGCTTCCTTATACAACAGAGTGTGATACACACAAAAGGCCACAACTGACAAAGTTTTAGAAAATAAGAGATTGCAGAGTGTGTGTCCCTGGATAGGACTCCTATATTAAACCCCACCCACCCATGGCTCAGGGACCATTGTGGAAGAGGGGGCGGAAAGACTGTAAGAGCCAGGGTGGGTTCATGAACATAGGGAAGCAGAGGCTTTCGGGCTACTGGAGGCTTGCACATGTGAACTTGTGGCAATGGTGGCATTGAGCACAGGACCCATGCCAACTCAATCAGACAAGGCCCAGAGTGGAGTGGGGGAAATGGGCAGTGTCCAGCCCTAGTCTTGGAACTGTTGGAGACGGATTACAGCTAGGTGAGGCTCTTACTCATGATCTCTAGATAGACTGACTAGACTCCAGTGGATGAATTTGCATCAAAGGACATCTGGATGCAAACGCTTGACTGGATAGGGCTTAGCATGTATGGCGGAATGCACAAGGTCCAGTGGAGGGAGGTTCGGGAGGGGGGTCTACATTTGATTAAGAATTGTTGTATGAAATGTATAAAAACTCTAGTGAATCCAGACCAACAGTGACTACAGGAAGACCCTGTCTCAAAAAGACCCCCCTCCCAAAAAAAAGAAATGCATAAAAGCTCAATGAAAAATTAAAAAAAAACCAACAGGGCTGGAGAGATGGCTGAGTGGTTAAGAGAACTGACTGCTCTTGCAGAGGACCCAGATTTGATTCCCAGCACCCACATGGTGGCTATGAACCATCGTTAACTCCAGTTCCAGGGGAATCTGAAGCTCTTTTCTGACCTCCAGAGCATTGCATGACATGAGTGCACTCACATACATGCAGACAATACAGTTGTACACGTAAAATAAAAATAAAAAATATATTTTTTAAAAAGCAAAATTAAAAAACAAAACAAAACAAGAAAACCCCACAATTCCCAGCCAGGTAGGGTGGCTCACACCTGTGATTCCAGCACTTGGGAAGTTGAGGCAGGAGGATTGCTGCAAGCTTGATGCCAGCCTGAACTACATAGTGAGACCCAGTGAAACCCTTTCTCAACAGTTAAGAGTACTGGCTGCTCTTTCAGAAGACCCAGGTTTGGTTCCCAGCACCCACATCAGGTGGCTCACAATTGCTTGTAATTTCAGTTCCAGGAGCTCCAACACCCTCTTCTGGCATCTGTGGGAACCTGCATTCATGTGGTGTACATACACACACTTAGGCACACACATGCACATAAAATAATAAAGTAAATGTTTTAAGAACATGGACTGGCAAGGTGGCTCAGAGGGTATAAGGCACCTGCTGCCAAGCCTGAGGATCTGAGTTCGATCCCCAGACTGACATGGTGGAATGAG